TAATCTTTAACTTTTTGATCACACGAAACTAACTCTTCTCTTTAATGGAAGATGCGGTAACACGGGTCGCTGCGTTTGGAGAAAATTGAGGTAATAAACAGTTAGATACCGGCACGACCACGCCAACATTTGTTCCCTAACAATGTCGTAGATAACATCTATTCTTGCTGGATGCTCGCGGGAGTGGATCAGTCCCAGGTTAAAATTTGCACACGCCAGTAACCAGGTTTGTAAATCATACAGGGTCGACACCTCGTAAATAGATATAATTTTAAAATCTGTAAACCTGAGATGTTTTTTGGGCTAAAAATACTCGTGTAATCGAAAATCCAGAGTATTTTAACACTAAACATTTTTGAAATATATTTCGACAGAAGAAAAAAATAATAGACTATAACTGGTTCTTCCTGCATTATCCACCTATTATATGCTTGTCCAAATCTACTTTGATAATAACAAACAAGGATGAAAGTCGTCATTATTAGCCCTAAATCGCTGGATACTGCTATTTGCCTATCAATGCACCATACCTAATTTGGCATGAATTATTTTTTTTCGAAATCACGTTTTTATATCAAACCTAACAACAAAAATGTACACAGTTTTAGTTAGTCTGATTGATTAAGGTGGTCACATTTTCCATTACTTTCAGAAAAAAAATCAATATGTAATGTTTCCTTAAAATAATATCCCTTCTGTGAGTGTATTTTAGCATTTTTTTTCGTTTAAGTGCCTGTCGTCTGCTATATACGGAGTGCACGTGTTGTAAAATACTTCAACAGTTTAACGCCCCCTCTAACTACTCTGATGGAATTGCCAGATGCTCCCTGCCATTTCAATTTTTAAAACAAAATTTGATTCAATATTGTATGTGAAGGAACGTTGAAGAAAAGCATAATATTGTTATGATTCTATTTTTAACAAACTTAATGTGAATCCATGATGTAATGAATGCGCTCAATAAACCCCCCTCAACCCTACCCCCAATATAAATAAATAAATAAATAGTTCAACTTTATAAATTGGCGGTGTGCACAAAAGCCATTGCAATAAATAAAAAAAGTTAAAAGATAACTATCATCATAAGGTTCTTTATACTATTTCAATAGATGAAAATGTATCCAATGGAGATTTGGATTTTTTGTCATTTATGTTTCTATATTGAGAGGTGTCAATCAAATGCAAACCGGAAACATAAAAAAGATGAAAGTCTATAGCATATCAGTCTTTACATTTACTCCCCTGAAAATAAAAAAAAAATAAAAAAAATAAAAATAAAATAAAAACAACCCCCATAAAAAAATAAGAAGAATAATAAATATTGGTATAAATATGACCGAAAAATAAATAGTGTGAAAAAAAAAAAACGTAGGACGTAAAACAAATTCATTAAGCCCACTGGATTAGTGACCTGAAAAGCACCCTTCCGTCAACTTGAAAGACTTCGCTGACTTACTCAATTCACACTTCACAATGACCCAACGACATTTTTGCTTAGCCGAACAATTTAAGCAGTAGTACAAGCGCTGCTCTTTATTAATTATAGCGCATTCCGGCGAAGCTTTTATCCTTTCCCCGAGTCCTTTGCCATAGTGCTATTAAAACGCCCATTTATGACAAATTGAGCAGATTGTATTATTGCAATAAATGATTCATCTCACAGAAAATGGATGGTTTTGATTTAATTTGGGAAGTGGCCTATTTTTTATTTCATGGTAATGTGGCGTTCACCTTGTCTGCCGTTCATACAAGAACGTGTAGTTGAGCGTCTGTCGTTTTCAATAAATATTCCACCGTTATTAGCCCGTGAACGTCGACTAGGGAATAACAGTAGTTATAAATAATGCCTCCGTGATGCATGGCTTTATACAAATGGTGAAAATGAGTAAATCCGTATGATGAATGCAAGGGTGAATGAACACAGGGGGAAAATACGGAAAGAGAATCGAAATAATCTTTTTTTTTTTTTTTTTTTTTTTGCGTAAGAGAAGTAAACCTGTTTACTGAAAATTATCAAAAGTAACGAGTTTCAGTTGACGTATTGAAAATTGGAAAAATACCTTATCAAATATGAAACATATTTGTTTCATAATAGCAAACAGTTGATGACCAACAATTATTATTTTATAAATAAAACACTGTCACATATTCTAACATAATTTTGCTAATGTCTGCAGTGTACGACGGCCTATAATCCTCAATTCGGTGTACCTTTTTTGCCCTTTCCCTTCCCTTCTTTTTTTTTTTTTTTTTTTTGATATTTTCTTCGTCTTCCTATTTTTCTTTATTTTCTACTGGTTTATACGTGTGTAATTTCTTGACAAACTGCACCAGGCTATTTGTCATAATTCACAGCATTTTGGTTGTTTGTAGGACGCAATGCCTGTAATACTTATGAATTAAAGTCGCTTTAATGGTTGCCGTGAACCACGTTTCCCCGACTCCGAGAGGTCTAATATCACATGGGATCCGGAGTTCGCCATTACCTCGTCTCTCATGCCCTTTGTTTGCCTAAACACAGCGGGAACACTTCACTTTCAGTAGAAAAGAAAAACAAACACTCAGCTAAATCGCCGTATCACGATGAAAGATAACCCCAACGAACAGTAGGAATTTAAAGAGGCCAATAACGACGCGGTTTCAACTTTCTTTTTTTCTGCGCAGTGTTCGAAGTTAAGTGATCTCGGCGTAGGAAATGTATTGTTAATCGGAAGTGAAACGAATCAGCGGCAGCGAAAATCAACAATGTGCTTTGTTTACACTTTTCACAGTTATATCTACTGTAGGAAAAATTCTTTG